AGTTCATACTAAGAACAAATAATGTTTTAAAGAAGTCACGAATATGCTTTGATAACTGTTATGACAATAAGAACAGGCTTATGATAAACGATTAAGGAAGTTACATCGGAGTAGATGAAGCTGGAAATGATCAAATTTGTACACAGTGGATGATTAGCAATTCACTAATTAGAGCTTGTTCTGTGTTTATCATAAATATGAAGGGCTGGTGAAACATCACTGAACCGTAACCAAATTATCCAATAGGTCAAGGACAACTAACGCGCGTGGATTAACTGAACATCGTAAATGAGGTCATGACGCAATGGCTCAACTTCCTAATCCTTGTTGTAACCTACTAAAATATGTTATTACACATTGCGAGCAGTTATTTAGGAATTAGACTACGAAATTATCACGATAGCGTAATGTAGGTTAAGTACTAATCACAAGGTATGACTTATATGTTAGCTAGGTCACACCGTCCCCGTTCAACTTGACTCCCATCTACGTTGATGGTTTGTATTCTTCATTTTGCTAGTCTTATTATCCGCCTTATGATCTGAATACCCTAGAAGTTACCGCATTACATTTAGAATTAACTTCAAGAATGGAACTCACCACTCTACATCAACTTCATCGACTATGAGAAAGCATGGATAGGAAAGCGTGAACAGGAAAACACTGTGGAGGCTTCTTCGACACTACGATGTGCCTGAGAAAATAGTTAACATCATACGGAATTCTTATGATGGATTCAACTGCAAAATCGTGCACGGAGGACAGCTAACAGACTCTTTCGAGGTGAAGACCGGTGTCAGGCAAGGTTGCTTACTCTCACCCTTTCTCTTTCTCCTGGTGATCGACTGGATTATGAAGACGTCGACATCTGGAGGGAAGCACGGTATCAACTGGACAGTTAGGATGCAGATGGACGATCTGGTCTGGCTCTTCTATCACACACGCAACAACAAATACAAGAGAAGACGACCAATGTAGCAGCAGTCTCTGCATCAACAGGTCTCAACATACATAGAGGAAAAAGCGAAATTCTCCGATGCAACACAACATGCACCAATCAAATCACTCTTGATAGAGATACCTTGGAGGACGTTAACACCTTTACATATCTGGGCAGCATCAACGACGAGAAAGGTGGATCCGATGCAGATGTGAGGGCGCGGATTGGCAAAGCAAGGGCTGTATTTCTACAGTTGAAAAATATCTGGAACTCCAAACAACTTTCAACCAAAACCAAAATCAGGATTTTCAATACAAATGTCAAGACGTTTCTACTGTATGGAGCGGAAACTTGGAGAACTACGAAAGCCATCATCCAGAAGATACAAGTGTTTATTGACAATTGTCTACGCAAAATACTAAGGATTCATTGGCAGTGGAAGTGGATAGGACGCACACTACGAAAAGAACCAAACTGCGTCACAACACAAGCCCTCTTATGGAACCCTGAAGGCCAAAGGAAAAAAGGAAAGCCAAAATGCACATTACGCCGAGAAATAGAGAAAGATATGAGAAGAATGAACAAAAATTGGACAGAACTGGAAAGGGAAGCCCAGGACAGAGTTGGTTGGAGAAAACTGGTGAGCGGCCTATGCTCCATTGGGGATAACAGGCGAAAGTAAGTCAAGTACAATCCAGATCTCCATTATAATTCAATTCAACAGCTTAGTCCCACATCTTATTAGTGGTTACTTGTAACGGTTCATTTCTTCTTTTACACAGCTTTCTATGTTATTCTGAATTTTTTGTTTTACATTAATCCTTTATTTACACAACTTTTATTCAACACAAAATGATTACTTAGCAACATCTTTCTATTTCATATAACAATATACAATTATGCCTAAATTATTTATATATAAGCTTGTATACTATCACTGAATGACACAGAAGAGATTTCTCTTCTAAACAAGCTTTAGGTTTTTTTTTCAAACGGAAACTCCAACTATATATTCGCCAACAAAGCTCGACTGGCTTTTGCCAACCTGCGTCACTTATGGCGTAGGCGAGATATCTGTTTGCTGACTAAAGGACGAGTGTACTGCGCAGTAGTTCGCTCCGTCTTACTTTATGTCTGTGAAACATGGCCGGTGAGAGTAGAAGATATTCGTAGGTTACTGGTTTTCGATCATAGGTATCTCCGAAGCATTGATCGAGCATCGTGGGACAACCGAGTAAGCAATGCTGTTGTTAGGAAACGAGTACTAGGTAAGGATGGCAGATCAATAGATGAAGTGGTGAGACTTCATCAGTTGAGGTGGTTGGGACATGTGTTACGTATGACTAACCACCGACTGCCTCGACGAGCTATGTTTTGTGGTGTAGGAGTAGGTTGGAAGAAAGCTAGGGGCGGCCAAACCAAAACATGGAAGAAATCCATGAAGTCACTGGCAAGTGGACTGGGTCAAGTCGGTCGTTGTGGACTACCTGGTTGGGGTCCGCGAGATGAAAGTCACCAATGGTTGGAGACCTTGAACGAAATGGCTCAACATCGTTTGCAATGGAGCAAGTGCATCCATTCATTGTGCTCTCTCAAATCCTAATCTTCCGGATTCATCAGCACCTCTACCTTTGTCTTATTAACCTTTATTTTTCTGACTATCAGTACACCTGTCTTCCTACTATCCACTTGTACTTTTGCCTATTATGTGTGTAGTGATGCAATCGTTTTCATTTCATTGTGATTATGACTCATAAATTGCCTTGATTGGTTTAACATTTTCATATAAATATTCATGTATATATTAGAGTAAATCCTGATGACAATCTAATCGAAAACATTAATATTGTTCTCTTATATGTGTTGTCCTAACTTTCTAACCTTATCTCACTGAATTATACTTCTTGAATAATAATATCTTCAAACCCTACTAATCTTCTTCATTACCATTAATACCTCTACTATCTTTATCACAATCAAATTTGATTTGACATTTGCGTGTCTCTGTGCTAATGTGATGTGATATGGCAACATGAACTTATGTACATACGTACAAAGTTTTTACGTTTCAACTGACCTTAAATATTCACCAACATAAAATTGCATCGGTGAGATAATAGTTTTTATAGTGATTAGTTAGTTGTACAATGAATGGTAGAATAGGTTGTTTTTTTTTAACTTAACTAGCAATGACTCCGCAAGATAGTTCACTCATTCTATAATCTAATGATCAGACTTGTTTGTTTGTTTAGTATAGCCAATAAATAAATATGAGACCTATCATAAATTACAATTCATTGAGTGGTTTATTAAAATATCTACTTATTCATTCAATTTGTTAATTAACTTTGTTTTTTTTCAGTTAATTGATTGAAAGAAAGACAACAACAGATTTAATGACGATATATCTATCTCATTTATCAATAAAAATTATATATATATATATATAAAGTACACATTGTTTTATATGTTGTAAGCATTTTGAATAAAAAAAATAGGATGAATCAAATCATTTCAGAAGATCGATTGACCTTAATCAAGATGGTTGGTTCTATAGCGCGTATTCGATTCATGAGGTCAAAAGATTTGATGACTACTGTTAATTTCAATATAAATTTGAAGTTTCAAGGTGATAAGTACGTTTGTAGGTGTTTTATAACTTATAAAGTGATAAATTGAACTTCACATATGAATTCGGAAAGAATTCTTTCCTAATAGTTGTATAATATTGTACTCAGTAGGGTTTCATTACTAGAAATCACTATTCCATATTTCTTGTATCAACGGTATGTGAGAATTTATAGGAAATTATCAATAGCATCGTTCGAGGTGAAAACCGGTGGTCCGGCGAAGATGCTTACTCTCAAACTTTCTCCTGGTGATCGACTGGATTAAGAAGGCGTCGACATCTGGCAGGATGCAGCTGGACTTCTTAGATGATCTAGCTCTTCTATCTCACACGCAACGACAAATAGAAGAGAAGATGACAAGTGTAACAACAGCCTTAGCAGTATTAGGTCTCAACATATATAGGGGGGAAAAGCAAGATACTCCGATACAGCACATCATACACTCACCAAATCACAATTGACGGTAAAGATGTGGAGGATGTAGAAATCTTTACAAATCTGGACAGTCTCATTGATGAGAAAGATGGATTTGATGCAGGTGTTAATACACGGATTAGCAAAGCAACGGCAGCACCTACACGATTGAAGAACATCTAGAACTCAAAAAAAACTATCAATCATCACTAAAGTCACACAAGTCAATACAAATTAATACAGTTCTACTGTATGGGGCTGAAACTTGGAGAACTACCAAAGACATCCATCGTTCAAAACATTCAAGTATTCATTAACAGTTGTCTACGCAAAATACTTAGGATCCGTTGGCCAGAAACCATTAACAATAATCTACTCTTGCAGAGAACGAACCAAAATCCAGCGGAGGAAGAAATCATGAAGGAGCAATGTAAGTGGATAGGACACACATTGAAGAAAGCATCCAACTGACTCACAAGATAAGCCCTCTCTTGGAATCCTCAACGTCAAATTAAAACAGAGAGACGAAGGAACACATTACGCCGAGAAATAGAGACAGATATGAGAGGAATGAACAAACGTTGGAAGGGTGGTCCAGGACAGAGTAGGTTGAAGAATACTGGTCAGAGGCGTATGCCCTATTGGGGGTAAGAGGCGTAAGCAAGTAATCAATAGCATGGATAAAATTGTAACGATAGATCGATCTATTTTAAATAACTTCACACACACTCAACCTAAATACCTTGTATCATAGACCTTATAATCTGTACAGCATACTTTTCTTAAAGATGAACAAGCCATCATTCCTCAATTGACAACTCTAAGTTGTGAAAATCTCCACTCGGATCGATAAGTTCTACTAACCTGTTAGGGTTGTTGAAGAATCAATACATAACTCTGGGGGACACTAGCAAGCACAATGGGGACTTGGGTAGATAACAATTCAAAGAGAATATCTTCAACTGGAGCTACATTCTTAAGCAACTCAAAAATTCGATACGAACATATTTTATGCGCAACTCTGATGCAGCAATTTTGGTAGACTCAACTGTTATTCAATAGGCGCACCAAGAGCAGACAACGGTTAATCTCGGAAGTAAAAATAGCATTGATTTTTTTAAATCTTTTTACAAACAAACAAACAAACAAACAAACAAACAAAAAAAAACAGCAGATGCAATTTCTCAAGTTATAAAAAAATATTTGAAATTAGGTAAAAAAAAAAAACTGCATGTTTGTCATGCTGACAAGTCAAAAAACTGTCAACCAATCAATCATGAAAGAATTTAGGAAGCGAAAGGAAGTTTTATGGAAATTTCTCATTTGGGGAAAACAAACAATGTGTTCTTTTTTTTTTAAGAGGCGGGACGAAATCAACAGAAAAAAAGGAAATATAGTTGGGGGCGGGGGTAGAGTTAAGCAACAAATTATATATATATATATAGGGTCATGTTTTCAATACACGAAAGGGGATGTGATCAAGTGCAATAAAAATGATTCGGGAAATTGTTACAATATATATTTTGTGTATAGATCAAGTTATTGATAACAAACACAGTAAGCAATCTGTATTTTTCTTTCCGTACAATAATTAATGATGTTTACTTTTGATTTTATCCAATAATTATAGACATAGCAGAAGACAGAAATTGTTCAAAACTGAATTGAGCATATCCATTACGATTGACATCACGTTGTCTGAAGGAATTTGTGAGTATCTATGAGAATGAAAATAAAAAAGGGTAGATAGGTTTGAAAGTAAACGCAGTTGTTTATGAAGAGGACATATGAACAGTCTATAAATACTATAGACGACAAAGTTATAACGTCGACTTGCCATGACACTTACTTACTGCATTGGCCTTGTTTTAGTGAAAAAAAGAATCATATTTGTAAAATCCATAGCGGTTGAAATTAAAATAGTGATAACATTTCGCTTCCTTAGTGTCTACTAGTTCGACCTTGTTCACAGTAAAAATCAAAATTCAAAGTTATTTAATATGTATGAATGAGGATCATTAACTGAATGTTTTCAGTCATGTCAAGATGTCGGAAGATTTTTAGGGTAAATATACATTGTCTGGTAAAAGGAGTGTGGTGAAAGTCATAGTAGGGGAGGAGAAATGTACTTGCGTGTATGCATATCTAATGCGAGAACCCATTTATCTCATCTAGCTGTAAGGATAAAATCAGACAACCTGATAGATTATTCAGTCAGTCAGTCAGATGAAACGTAGAACTGCGTACCTAAGTACATCAGTTCATTTCGCCATACCACATCAGCACAGAGATATAATTGTCAATTCAAATTCAATAGTAGAAGAGGTAGTAAATGTATTAGGAGTAATCGGAGAGGTTACGATTAGAAGATATTATTCAAGAAGTATGATTCAGTGATAAAAGTTTAGAAAGCCAAAACTAAAGCTGTTGAAGAACCCAGAAGATTAGGATTTGAGAGAACACAAAGAATGAATGCGCCGGCGCCATTGCGAACGATTTTGAGCCATGTCATTCAGGGTCTCTAACCATCGATTATTATCATCTCGCGGACCCCAACCAGGTAGTCGACAATTACCGACAAGGCTAAGTCCATTCGTCAATGACTTCATGGATTTGTGCTATGTTTTGTTTTGGCCGCCCCTATCTTTCTTCCAACCTACTCCTATACTACAAAACAAAGCTCGTCGAGGCAGTCGGTGATTAGCCATACGTAACACATGTCCCAACCACCTCAACTGATGAAGTCTCATTACTTCGTCTGTTGATCTACCATTCTTACCTAGCGCCCGATTCCTAATAACAGCGTTGCTCACTCGGGCGTCCCACGATGTACGAGCAATGCTTCGAAGACACCTATGACCGAAAACCAGTAACCTACGAATATCTTCTATTCTCACTGGCCATGTTTCACAGCCATAAAGTAAGACGGAGCGAACTACTGCGCAGTAAACTCGTCCTTTAGTCAGCAAACGGATATCTCGCCTACGCCATAAGTGACGCAGGTTGGCAAAAGCCAATCGAGCCTTCTGTATCCGAGCTGAGATTTCGTCAGTCACCAGGCCATCGGCACTGACGAGACTCCCAAGATAAGTGAAGCGGTCTACACGTTCGACTACTTCACTCCCTATCACTAGTTCAGGTGCCGATGAAACCCAATCTTGAAGCAACATTTTCCATTTCGAGGGTGAGAACCGCATCCCGAACATGCTTGCATTGTTGCTTAGGGTGGTCAGAAGACTCTGCATTTTGTCAGCGTCTTCACCAAGTAGGACAATGTCATCGGCATAGATAGATTATTCAACCTGTTATAACAATCATGGCATGAAAATGAATAAAAGGACGTATGTGTGAAGTACGTTAGAAAGATTAGTTGTTCAAGACACGAAAACATAATAAGAATGCTTATTCAATACGTATACAAAACAGGTAGAACTGGGTACCAAAATATAAATGAGAGAATAACGTTATTTAGAAACAAGGGAGGAAATGGGGTGCAGTCACGAAAGCATTGTATTAGAGTTTAGATAGAAATATGACTAATAAGACCTTTTGAAATCAAAGTAGTGTATTTTATTCGTAATTAGAATCAGTCAGTCAGCATATACGTAGATTAGTTCAACTTGTCATATCACATTAGCACAGAGATGGAACTGTCAACTCAAATCCACGTAGTGGTATAAGTAGTAGAAGCAATAGCGGTAATGAAGAAGATTAGGTTCGGAGATATTATTCAAGAAGTATAATGAAATGAAATAAATGTTAAAAGAAAGGTAGGGAGGAATTATACTTTGAGAGAAAACAAATAGTGGATGTATCTGCGCCATTACAAACGATTTTGAGCACGTCATCCAAAGTCTCCAACCACCGCTTACGATTGTCTTGGGGACCTCAACCTGTTAGGCCTACATTTACTGACATGCCTTAGTTCAGTTGCTAATAACTTCACCGAGCTGTGCCAAGTTTTAGTCTGGCCACGTCAAGCTTTCTTCCAGCCTACCCCTACATTGGAAAAAGTCGTTTATCGAGGCAGCCGTTGGTTGGGTATGCGTAACACATGTCTCAACAATCTCAACTGATGAAGACTCATTATTTCAGTAAGTGATTTGCCACCCTTACCTTTCTCCTAAATAAATAACAGCCTCATCCTTTCCCGAGATAGTCTCACTCACATTTGGGTTCCTAATACCAGTTTCCTTGATAAGTCGAAACAGCTGTCGGCTGTTGCCTATCGCCGTTGCCTTTTCCATTTCTCTTGCTTTCGCCACCCACCACTGATCGCGATCATTTCGTGGGCTTTTTATCAGTCTTCGCCTAAGCTGACTTCGCTCTTCATCATATTCAGAGCCAAGTGGGATGAGTTTTCGAGCATCCATCAGTTTGGTAGATGCCATTGAGATCCACAGCTTCTTCCTAGACTTATGGTTTACCTTGATAACAGATATCAGCCTTTTTGATATCATTCCAACCTACCTCCGGATTGAGATCACTTACATGGTCGCCTGTCTTTCCAATTGCTGCTGAAATATATTCTTAGCTTTATTATTACTAAGTACAACCCTAACAGGTTTCCTTGCAGTGTCGTCCCTACGCCCGGTAAATTACAAACAAAGACGCGCTCGCACTAGAGCATGATCAGAATCTAGACATGTGCCCCAGAACGAGCGACAGTCCTCTATAGAACCCCTCCATCGGTGGCTGATGGCAATGCGATCTAGTTGGGTCCAACGTTGAGACAACTTTGGGGGTCGCCAGGTCAAAAGGTGTTTTACCTTATGCCTAAAGTTAGTGTTTGCTACAAATAGGCGGTTATTTGAGCACAGTTGTAACAGACGGTCACCATTATCTGTTCTCTGAGCCGCGACACCTTAAGATCCACCCATGTGTCTTTCATTTTCACGCAGTCTACCTACTTGAGCATTAAAGTCACTATCCATTATTACTATATCAGAGTGCCAAAATTTTCGGAGGAGGTCCGAATGCTTTCTGTGGAACTCATCCTACACCTTGTCTGAACTGCAGTCAGTCAAAGCGTAGGCAGATACGACGAGAAGGCAACGGCGAGTGTCTTTCTTTCCGAGTCCTTACTGTCCCGTTTAATCGGACAGCGCACAAGCGACTATCTACTGGGATCCAGTCTAGGAGAGCTAGTTCTGCCCTACGACTCAATGCTATACCTACACCAGCAGCATCAGGACTTCCAGATACACGAAGGGTAAATCGAGTTGCTTCTGTGTCTTGAACTGGTGAGGTCAGGTGAGTGACGCTATTGGGGTCCTGTATGCGCGTTTCCGAGACGCAGCATACATCGATGGCGCGAGATTCTAAAGCCCTAGCTAAGTGGAATAAAAAAGTATATTTCTAAAGCGTTCGATTGGAACAATGTGGAAATACTGGATAGGAGGAGCACAAAGAACAGTAGAGAATTGTTAGAAGCTTGGAACTCGGGTCAATCAGCAATCAACAAACACATAGACACTGACCCAATTTACCAACCAATCAGAAAAATCATGGGCGACATAGGATCAAGAAAAAGATCAAAGGAGAGATACAATCAAAACAAGGGTGCAAACAACAGCAAGTTTAAGGTCAACAGCAACCAATTAAGATCGAGGTTAACAGAACAAGCTACGGATCAAACGTGGAGAAATTCGAATACTTCACTTCTATCTGAAGTTTGTGCTGATGATATTGTTCAGAAGAACAACGAAAACTCCACAACCAAAACATTCAGCTAAGAGGACGAAACACCACCAGAACTATATGGTTGCCTCAATGTCACATTCAAATGTAGATCTCGACGCTAGCCACTTTCCACGGGGATCGGGGTTGTTGTATTTACAGCCGTCTCAAGTATCGAGATTGTGCCACCATCCCAGAACCGTACACCCCCCGAGCCAGGTTGCGATCACGTAGAGCTGTAACCACGCCCCAAGCAGGCACCTCCCACGCCATGCCGAAAGGCGGACTCGGAAGCGAGTACTGGTTCCACCGTACCTCCGGGTTCGGCGCCCGCCATTGTCGAGACCCCGCTCATACAAGGCGAGAAACTTATGTGCCGGCGAGTACATGCGGAAGTACCCGTACTTCAGGCTGGCTGCTCATTTTACGTGCACGACTATCTCACTTCCTGTAGTGATTCCACTTTTATGAAGAGAACGCGATTGGTTTAATAGAAATATTCATTATTATAGCCAATTGCACCAGTGATTGTTTTACTGAACCTCTTTGATTATTACTACTCTGTACGAGTAAACTTACCATTGGTGTTGCTGTCATTTTGGCTCCACTGTCGCTGTAGTTTCGCCCCTCTTTCCTGGCACGATTTCGGTATTCTCTCGATCCAACGAAATCGCCAGCAAATATATTCTTTATTATGGATTATTTTATATTCTCTGTGACGGGCAAGTAGTGGTGATCTTAGTCAATCACGACGCGACAAGTTATACACTCATCAGTTTATATACGTGTATTATGAGACTGCAACGCACCTCAATTAAGAAACGCAGTTTGAACACAGTTACATTGTCGATGGCAGAGAATGAGACAAAACGTGAGTAATTAATTTATGATAATTAGGGAACAATAAAACGTACGACAATAGGTAACAGGTACGACAGAGGCTGACAGTATAAGGAATATAAAAGTACAATAATCCAGTCATCTAATAATTTTACAATAAAAATCTATCAACTATAACAACCTGGAAAGTTTGAAACTCGTTGTTATAACGTTACATTACTTGTTACATCACTTATTGCTATTTGATCATGAAAACTTCAGTGGTGGAAGCAGAAATTGCTAATACTGTTCACCATATATCCCAGTTATGTACATTACAAATGTGAATAGATATTGATGGATAAAAATGTAAATTTTGAACTTTACAGACTAGATTTATCTAATTCCGAAGTGAAAAGTCAGCAGGAATTTCTACCCTAATAACCTTAAAGAAAAACTTGTCTTTCACATTTTATTTCACTAATGCATTTGATAAATTAGTTTAAGTTCAGTGAAATAGTTCCCTTAACTACTATAAATGTGCTATAATGTACTTACTTGGAGACATACACAAGCATAAATGAAGTCATCGAAGGCGATTTGCCCTCGGTTATTGCGATCAAAACGACTGATCATCGTCTGTACGAAACAAGGAGAGAGTCGATAACCAAAGGAGGACAATGCACAATGGAGCTCTCGAGCATCGATTAACCCAGATCTATCCTGATCAAATCGACAAAAACATTGTTGCCAATCTTGGACATATTTAAATAAATGAGAGAATTCACTCAGATCAATGGTTCCATTTCTGTCTCGGTCAAACATTGAAATCATTAGCTGAATAGTTCTAGCATTGAACGAAGTACCTATACCTTTAAAAATTAGCAGAATAATTATCTACTGAGGGATGTTTTCGAGCTGAAAATATTGACACAGGTTAGCTAATTACTGCAAAAAATTTATAATGAGACATCAGTCAGAACACACTAATAGAATCTTTGTAACATTTAGTGGCACTTATCAAGGACATTTCAAAAATCCAAAACCTTGAAGATAACAGACGTCGTCAAAATTTCTGGGAAAATGAACAGTAAAAACTAAAAAAGAAGCCGGTGAAACAAATATTAAAAAAATGAGATATTTTTAAAACCATGGACAAAACCCAGATGATAAGTTAAAATCCATACGTGAATGCATAGAACACCGACTGGCATTGTAAGGTAGCCAGATCTTTGAGGTAAATGATATCGTGGCCTCTGTAGATATGTCTTATACACAAAGAAACTTGTTTGCGAGCGCTAGAAGCTTTGAAAATAAATTCACTGCACAAGAAGAGCTAGCTAATGACCGAAATCTAATTAATATTGTCACCGAAGAATCAATGGGACGTTTGAACACTGGTTAGAAGTATCTGAATTGATAAAAAACTGCAAACTAAATGGGGTAGTGTTTTACATAATAACTTTACGTATAAAATGTTCGTTTACAGACAGAAACCGTAGAGAAACTTAGTCGTTGATACATTTTTAATGGGTACAAATTTTCAGATGACGTCTTATTCGTTCCTACTGTTCAACTTATTACTTCGTACTAATACATGCTAACCCTTGCAGTAGAAATCAGTGACTGACTGCATGGTATTTTACCATCCCGATTTTAAACTTCGTAGGTGTTGTTAGAAAGATTTACAAATCAGACGGATGATTTTGCTCGTAGTATGAAACTTAGAACATACCTTTATACACTGTCTATGGAAAAAGGTATGCTGTTTAACAAGGTACTGCGGGTAGTCGCTATCGGGCCTAATTTTAAGTCGTCAGAATTACGCCATAAAATGTTTAGTCTTTTACATCAATGAAGATTGGCTGCAGTTCTGACACGCAAGCTTAGATTCTTTGAGTGATTGTTTGGAAACATTAACCTTCGCGGATTCGGCTACATCGACGAACTGACTAGCTGTTATGAAGAAATCCCACACCGACCCTCAAACAGAAAAGGAGGGGAACCTTGGGGGTTTGATTAGGAAGTTTGAAATTAAGGTCGTTTAGAATACAGAAAATGTATCAAGGTTTCGCATTATTTTGCAATACAGGGTAAGTAGTGACTTCCCCACACTTTCATCATTGTGGGGTGACGTCTCAAAATTAACAGCTTCCTCCACTCTAAAAATAACACATAATCCTCCATAATCTCGCAAAATTAATGCTGGATTGCTTACTTTACGATTAAACAAAACAACCAAATCTCTTATGAAATAATATGCATACCATTTGACAGCGCTAATTGTAGCTCATTATGATCAACATATCCGTCTCTGTTCTTGTCTACTCTGAAACATGTGTTACTGGAGTAAGTTTAACATCTACCTTTCGAATATCCTTCTGACTGTTTGTTGATCGTACATACGTTGAACAAATCACCTGTAGGCCAAGTACTTGTCCTTGTGTTTATATGTGCGCGCCCCCAACACTGATTACACAATAACCTTAACCAATATCCAATATCTTAAGATGAATCTATTGTTAAACTCATGATGTTGAGACTCGTCAGCCCGCGTGAAGTCTGTTTGCTTTGATGCGATACCTTCTATTCTCTAGGTAGCTTATGAGCCAGGATAGAAGTGGATCCGTTAAGCCCATCACTGCAACCTTCACTATACCCAGTACCTATGGTACCGTGTAAAACCTTTAGCTAGGTCAAGTTAAATTACATGAACCGGGATTTCTTGGTCATAGAAGGTTTTCCAGCCGTCTCGCACAATGATAAGATTGGAACCTGTCTTTCCTAAACTCGTTTCGGGCTTCATACACCATGTTTCGTTTACCCGTGCACCCCTTCAACGGTTCACTCATTACTCCTTCTATTACACTCAACAGTATTGCTGGCAATGCAGATGGTATGCAGCAGGCTGGAGCCTCCGAATCTCGTTATTTGAAGATTAGAGAGATCAGCCTTTTTCCATTCAGCTGGAAGTTATTGTGACTCCAGTTAATGCCGGAATATGTGAAGCGAGAGCATCTGCACACTGTCTCAAGACTATATGGCCAATATTATCACATCCTGATGACTTTCCTGGGCCTAAAGACTTTAGTTTTTTCAGTACCAATTCCTATTAGATCGGATATTCCCGAGGCATTAAGCTGGCACTAGGTTTTAGCGGCCATGTGACACATAGAAGATTCTCTCTGATTCGGGATTAATTTGACCTAGAGTAGCAAATATTTAACTCGTTTTCGTCCTGACCGAGTGATTTGTTTGTGACTATGTTAAATATGACTGTGTCATGGTCACTATTTCCTATCCTTGTACGGAAGTGAACATCCTCGAGCAGGAGCTAATCATTTGTTAGCATATAATCCAAGTTGGAGGATTTCCCCATCCTTTGTCCATCTGGTGGCTCTGCACACATGCTCAGTCATCCCAGAGCTTCTAATGGTCACGAAAAGTCGCTCAAGGAACCAACCAGTGCAGGTTTTTCTGCTTGCTAAAATTTAGGGACGGAATATTGAATTCTCCTGCTAGTTGCGTTTGGTCTAACTCGAGATGTGGTAGTCAAAATTCAGTCTCGACTAACTTATCTTTCTAGGCCTTAGTACTTGAGGGGGACTGGTAAATCCTTCCAGTTAAGTACTTCGTGCTATTTGTGTTGAAAACACATCAGTAAAAATCTGTCACGTCGGTTAGTTACTATAGAAGCACTGGACGGAATTGATAAGAAGCCAAGCTGAAAGTATGTGATCACACTAGAGGTAGTATGATGATTAGAAGTATGTGAATCAAGAACTACGGGATGAGCACAAACGAATGTACTGTGTTTAGAATTCGAAAGCGAGCATTCAACAACAACAAGAAGTCACTAGTTAATTCAAACGCCACAGGTAGGTTAGTAAAGATGTACAGAACTGAATCAAAATAAAGCCGAGTAAAGAAGCTTAACAGTGCTCATACTGAACGTTTGAGCTTATTACTGCTAAATATGAATGAATTTGCTTTTGTAAGCCTTCCCCCCAGCTGATACTTTATCGTAATTTCATCTTTTGCTTCGATATACCTAACAAAATATTTCTTACATCGACTGTTCTTGACTAATATCCAGGAACGCCTGGTTATGGTATACTTTATAGTAACATTTGGAGTTAATCAGCTCAATCATTTATTTTTTGTATCCATTCCGGGCAATAAAATTACGGGAAAGTTAAGTTTTTTAATCATTATACTACTTGAAACTTCCTCCAGGAAAATGTTTTCCTCGGTTTGAACGCCATATATTCTCCGAATTATTTCAGAGCTAGGATATAAGCGGATCATTGAGACTCATTGTCGCTATGTCCACTTTCGCCAAATGACAGGCCTTGGTTTTCGCCTTTAGCAAGCATTATGTCTAGCTGAAGCCAGGAAGTACATTACTTGCAGTGGAGTCGAGATTGACTATGATCATCACTAAATACTTATACGCATGCCAGACATATTTAGAACCAAATCATCGACTGAATGAACTGACAAGAGCGCGAGTGATCAGGCCAGCTTTCGCCAAGATTGAATGAAGTCGACGGTACCAACAGGTCGATGGTCAGAGACGTGGGCTCAGGACAGAAAAATCGAAGAAAAAGAGAAAGGTGTAGCAAGCATATAGTAAGTGGTGGAATCCTAAACCGTATCCGTTGTTTGTTTGGGGATCAATCACGAAAGCTTACTGGTAGGCGAACGCGGCAGCCGGAACGCAAAACAGTAGTCTCGTACGTACCTTGTGTAAAGTAATTATATTACTCTTGCAGTCCGCTCTGAACCCGAAAGGTGTAGGTTCATACGCGTCCCGCCCAGTCCAAGTCCAAAAACGATAATTCTGGGAAAGAACGGTTCTGTATTTAATCAAAAAGGGGAAGTCAGACAATTACCAAAACAATATTACACTTTCGAGTTTCTAATCACCACAACAGGTTCCGTTCCTGGAAGAATAAGTGCTTTCAGTCAGTTACTGCTAGAGTATCAAATCAAAATATGGCTGTAGCCATATTAAATATCAATTTTAAAAACACATATATAGTTCAGAAGGAAACATGGAAACTTCAATATAAGTACAAGTTATAGAAACAATAACAATATACAAATGATAAATTCTCAAATGGAATCAAATAAAGTACCAAAATATGAAACAGAAGAGTCAGTAAGATCAAAGCACAAATATATATACATGGAGGGATTTTCCAAAAACAAAGCCTTCTAAATAGGTTCTACACCTTGTGAGCCTGCAGTCTCATCTGAAGTCAGGGGCGGCTTTGTCTGCTGGCCTGGACGTGACGCTGAAGTCTCATCCGTAGATAGTGAAGATGACGCGTGCTGTTGACTGGGACGTGAGAATGAGTTCTCTGATGTATCTAGCATGGGGTCCGAAGTAGATGTAGGGATCCCGCTGGCAAGTTGGACAAGTTCATCATTGAATCTCGACTTATCGGGTGGGGCACTGTCATTGACGTGTGCTGGTATAAGGCGATCAATGCTGACCGTGTCGGTCAACCTTGAAAGTCTTTTTGTGACGACAGATCATGTGAAAACATCCTTCGCAATGCTGTTGCGAAGGTTTGCGTACCGAATCTACTCGAATGAATAACTCTGAAGGAAGAACAACTTTAAAATGCTATATTCGAGTTGACACCCGAGGCAGTATTCGCATGTACGCAGATGGTTGCTGGTCGTTATTTGGCAAACGTAAAATCGCTGCTCCGTGGTGTGAAAAAATTCCCTAGGCAGATGCAATTTCGTGCAGTATGCAAGTTCAGGGGCGAAACATAGGATATCTGCCGTTGCTGCTCTATAATCGCCACATGGTCTCCAACTATTGCCATCTTTTGCAAACCGAATGGAGAAAGACAGTGAGAAAGACGAAGTAGTACATATAGCAAGTAAACTGTCAGACTCATGCTTAGCGAATCTTATTTGTCCAGTGCCATTCGGCGAGGTTTTGCCATGACTGAGGGTCTGTAGGTGACAATGTTGCCTACCATATTCATTCACCGATAGAATCTCTTTGGCTTAGTTACTTTGGGGAATTTGTCAAACGTAACATGAAATAAAAAAAATACACTAGTGATTCTGCACACATCTGTCGGGGCGGTAAAATCCTTGGATTTAATATTCGACGAAGTATCGATTAAGTGCAGCCTACGTGAATCGAGCAGCAATTATTAGAGCTGTAGGAAATCGACACCGAGTACGGCTGTGGAAACATCAGCAGTGATGAACGTCCATAGATACTATCGTCAATTATCCAGGTTGATCGATAACTGTCGTGTACCGTAGATTGGAATGACAGAGTTATTAGCAACTTGCGGTCGAAGCATCGTACCTTGAGGCTTGCTGCAACCAAAAGGTATGACAGAAACTTGGGCACTTGTGACCACTGGGTACCTGGTGTGATAATCGTGCACGTAAAATAAATGAGCAAATTGACGTGATGGGAAGCAGACAGGTGAAAATGTAGTGACCTGCACTTCGAAGTCTATTATATTATAGTTATCCACCATTTTGAAACGTTGTTGAAGGTATAATATTTATTAAAGGAGACTAATAATAGTAATGCAACATGATAAAAATGGTGTTAGATGAATAATAGACTCACCCTAATTGACCTCTTTGGACGGAAAGTCAGCTCACCAATTTTAGTGGTGATCGAGTCGAGATTAACTATAATCACTACTAAACAATTATTATGTACCCGTCACTGGCAAGAAAAGTTATTCCATAGTAAAGAATATATTTGCTGGCGATTTCGAGCTATCGAAAGAATACCGAAATCGAGACAGAAAAGTGAGGCGAAATTACAGAGATTGTGGAGCAAAGATGGCAGCAATACAAACAGAAAGTTTGCGCGTAAAGAGTGTTATAAACAAAATGTACAGTTATGAAATGCTTGATTACATCGTTTTTTTGTGTCGACATATTCTAGTTAATACCGATTGACACTAAATACTCATTATAACTGCATGTAAAAACGTTAAATGTTCTAGAAACAAATTCATTTAGTCATTTAAATTTTCTAAACAGCATTAACAAATTATAATGAGAGAGTTATTTTTTTTTTGACATCATATCAGTGATTGATGGCAAATGACTTCAAAAAATATAAAATCAAAATATTATCAGTTCACTGATTAGAAATCATCCTTAATACAATATGACAAGGTCATTTGTGATTAAAATTTAGAATACTTTCCTCATGAATCTAATCAAGTATAATGAAACCTTTGTGTATTGAAATTTCTCCCAACGCTGACCTTTAAAAATTGTTTTCATATGATATAATCATGAGCAGAAGAAGTTCAGTTAATTCAAATATAAAAATTATTTCATTTTTTGACTTTATATCATTTGACAATTCTTTGAATTATTATTGGTATGAGATGATGAAGTGTAGGCTAATAAAAGTTAATGAAATAAAGTCACATTAAATTTGATTGTGCTTGTTTTAAAATCTTTGTCAGTCAGTCAGTCAGATGCAACGTAGAACTTCATGCCTAAGTACATCAGTTCATGTCACCATACCACGTCA